ACAACAACAACAACAATAATAATAATAAAAGTTGGAAGGGACCTTGGAGGTCATCTAGTCCAAAACCCTATACCATTTCAGACAAATGGCTGTTCAGTCTCTTCTTAAACACTTCCAGTGTTGGAACATTCACAGCTTCTGGAGGCAGGTTGTTCCACTGATTAATTGTTCTAACTGTCAGGAAATTTCTCCTTAGTTCTAGGTTGCTTCTCTCTTTGGTTAGTTTCCACCCATTGCTTCTTGTCCTGCCTTCAGGCGCTTTGGAAAATATCTTGACTCCCTCTTCTTTGTGGCAACCCCTGAGATATTGGAACACTGCTATCATGTCCCCCCTCGTCCTTCTCTTCATTAAACTAGACATACCCAATTCCAGCAGCCGTTCCTTATATGTTTTAGCCTCCAGTCCCCTAATCATCTTTGTTGCTCTTCTCTGTACTCTTTCTGGAGTCTCAACATCTTTTTTACTTCGTGGTGACCAAAACTGGATGCAGTATTCCAAGTGTGGCCTTACTAAGGCATTGTAAAGTGGTATTAATACTTCACGTGATCTTGATTCTATCCCTCTGTTAATGCAGCCTAGCACTGTGTTGGCTTTTTTGGCAGCTGCAGCACACTGATGGCTCATATTTAAATGATTGTCCACTAGGACTTTCTTGCCATAGTTGTTAAGTGAATCGTGGTTGTTAAGTGAATCTGGCTTCCCCATTGACTTTGCTGTCAGAAGGTGGCAACAGGTGTTCACATGACCCGGGACACTGCAACCATCATAAATATGAGTCAGTTGCCAAGCGTCTCAATTTTGCAGCTGTGGAGAGGCAGAAAGTGTCCTAAGAGTGAAAAACGGTCATAAGTCACTTTTTTTTCAGTACGGTTGTAACTTTGGTTGGTAAATGAACTGTTGTTAAATTGAGGACCACGACCTATAAAAAAGTTGATTCTCATCATCATAGGATGCATTTGTTCATTAATGACAAACAATGGCCTGTGAAAAGACAACATAGGCTGGAAGAACACAAGGCGTAACATGCAAATGACACTAAATAACATGCAGATGGTCACTTCATTTTGTCAGGGATAAATATGAAGTAGCAACTACACTTTTGCAGTATTTCCTTTTGAAGTTTACTGCTTTTCTAGATAATGATATCACGGGAAGCTTTAACCTTATGCTGTCAACACTCTTTTCTTTGCCCTCTTGATAAAATATTTATAGTTTTTTGTTTTTTGCTTGTAATTTCATATTCACTGCTGTTTTCTATAACCAGTATGACCGTGCTGTCAGTCTCTCTCTTAATTTAGCCTTCCTTTTGTCTTTTTTCCTTTTTATTTTTCTAAACATTTTTGCTCCTTTAATAATCAAGCATTTGCACTGAAAACCTGAACCAACTCTATAGTTCCTCTGTTGTGGTTACTTTCATGTCCTTTGAAACATATTATTTTGACTGAACTGTCAAGATTTCAAAACTTGCTGCCAGCATAAAACTGTCTTGCGGTCCCAAATATAGAGAGCAAAGCATTTCCCTTATTGCCAATAGGGGGCAGTGCACGTCCACTAAACTATATAACTATATAGGACTTTTGCCTGCCTAGCCAGAATGAACAATGGATCACCATAAAAGCAGCTTGCAATACCGTTATCATCTCAGATTTTTATTATTATTGGTTTACATGGGAAAAAGTGGACTTTTCAGCAAGTTTTTCTCTCCAGTAATAAACAGCCCCTTCTAGATTTAGTTTCAGTTTTTGTTTGAAATGGCTAGCAAAATAATAACAATAAGCAAATTAATACATCTATGGAGATTCTCAGTCATCCAGGTCAGTTATTCCAAATATGCTTTTTCACGAGACAACTGGACTTTGTTTTTCTTTGAAGACGTTTCGCTTCTCATCCAAAAAGCTTCTTCAGCTCTGACTGGATCCAGTCAGAGCTGAAGAAGCTTCTTGGATGAGAAGCGAAACATCTTCAAAGAAAAAACAAGAAAGTCCAGTTGCCTCATGAAAAAGCATCTTTGAGATAAGCAAATTAATATATCAATTTGTTGCCCCATTCAGCTCTATCATTTTTATTCTGAGCTTAGATGGAAAATATCTTCTTGATTGCTCTGCACTAAGGCATGGAAGCAAACATAGGAAGCTGCGTGGAGAGTTGTGTAGAATGAAATGATCTGGAGCAACCCTTGTCTCTGCTTTAATGGCTATTTCTATAACTATTATTAGTTTATAACTCTATGTGTTCTTATCTCCAAACTAAAATAAGAGCTAAAACAACACTGAATCCTAACCAGCAGAAAGTTTAAAAGGGGTTAACAAAATAGGTTAAACATTATTTCCAAACTTCGTGCAAAATGTGCACAAATCTAAATAAATGTGCAGTCAATACCTGGGCTACAGAATTTGACACACTGCCAGAGGGAGGGAATTCCATAAGGAGACACAACTGAGGAATATAGAAAGAGGTATCCGTGAGATGTTCGTTTTAAAAAGCCCCTACACCCCAAAAATGACACCTCTATAGAAAACAGATCACAGCGGTAAATGCCATAAGATTATAGAGTTCTTGTTTAATGAGACTGGCAACTTGGTCTTTAAGCAAAGCAATCTGTGTTTGGGGGCGGTATATAACTGTGACTGTGCTTACAATGTTAGTTCAGCTTTTCTTTGCTTTACAGCATCAGGAAATGACTCCAAAAAACCAAGTGACCCCAAACAAGTTTCTGGAACTTGACTCACAAGAAGCTAGGTAAAAGGACAAATCTAATTGCTTTTTCCTCACTCCACTGCTCTTTGGAATGCTTTCCCTGACACTGGGATTTATTCATTGGAGAGGAAGGGATTACACGAGAGTAAGCAAGCACACAACAGGAAATACATGTCAAAAAGAATGCACTGGCATCAGCTGTTTGCTTAGCACACTTGCCATAAGCTGTTTAGGAGCAAACAAAAGCCTTCAGTGTGAAATTGATTAGTCTGGTCAGTTACAAGCAGCAGTTCCAGAAGATTCTAATCAAGATTACATAACTAAACCTATTAACCTGCAGTTAGCAATTTTCAGACATGCATGCACTTTGGAGAAAAGCACCTTAGGAGATATAGGCAATCTTTCAGCTGGGGAGGGGGGCTGGGAGGGCCAGACAATACATACTAACTATAATGGTAAATGAATACACAGAAAGTGAGCTGCTGCAAAGATTATAAATGTAGGCATTGGTCGCAAAGTTACTTTTTTACATTAACTGCAAATGGTCGCTGTCCAAGACAGTCGCTAAACAAGGCCTACCTATACATGGATTATTCAAAGTAATTTAGTCTATTGTCTTTATTTGAGCTTTTACAGTTCATAAAACCCACTGCTTACAGTACAGGCCAACCGTGTTAAAATAAACATGTCAAAAGATCACAGATGATTAAATAATAATTTATTAACAATATTTTCACAAACATTCTAAAGAAAATTTCAGAAGTCTCTAAACTTAAAATTTGTTCTCATTTGCAAAGTATTCCTTAAAAAAAGCAAGGAGAAAAAAAAGTATATCTTATAGATTTGTGTTTTGGGACATGTTTTTAAATTACTCTGTTTTGGTTTGAGTAAACCCCTCTTAATGCTTACAGTACATATTCAACCCTCTTCTCTTGCCAAGAGAAAGTAACTGAACATAAATTGATTTTTCGCTTTCAAATATGTAGAAGGGCACTAGATAGTTTTCCCAGGCAACACCTTTTCAACTTTTAACCTGATAGCAGTTTTGCAAATTCATTCAAATTATTTTAGAATATATTGAATTCAAAACCAGCTTGTTCTCCAGAATGAAACCCACCATGCAGTACAATTGTTAGCATGCACTTTGGTGATTATTTTTGTACTCCACGGTATGTATCTTTTCTGCCAACAAAGGGAGTCCCATTGTGGTTTGATTAAAATGTACTCAAACATTTTATGACATTAATATTTATTGCTTTATATGAATACTGTATTGAAAGCCCAAGCATCCAGTTTACACACAAATTATACAATTATACTGTATACCGTTTCACAATGGCAGTGAGCACTCTTTACAATCTACAAAAATCTACTTTACAGAAATTTAAAAATTCTAAATATCAAAAAGGTACAGTTGAAGAAACAGGTATAAATTTGGCAGCCAGTAAATGTGACTGGGAGGTTATATTTCGAGTGTTTTTTTTACACACCGATGACTGAAAAATATAATGTGACATATTTAAAGCAGTAATTGTGCTTTGAGCTGGTTTTGGAAAGAAAGTGTTAACACTGGCTGTCAAAGTGGATGTTCAAAAATATTCACTTTCAAAATGATGTACAAATGGTAGCCATTCAGCTCCGATACATAAACCTAGACATGCAATGCTGCAGCATTTCATATCAGTCTGATCTCCTACTATAAAACCATTACGTAATGTCAGAAATTTTCTCAGTTCACAGAAACTATCTTGTCAGGTTTGCAAACATTCCAGCTACACACACACAAAAAAAGAAAGCAAGCTGAAGATATTATTTTGAAATCTGTTCTCAACAGTTTTTCAACAGTAAAATGGAAACCTATTTTCCAGGCACCTCAGAAATGTACAAAAGTGTTGTTAGAACAGAACTCTTGGAATGTATTTGACCTGGTACTTTCAACAACATTCGGATCTTTTAGGCTATCAGATGGGCCTAATTTTATTTGGTTTATTTGGGGGTAAAAATGTTGTCTCGTATGAAAGAACTTGGTTGCTTCTATTTAGAACAGAAAATTCTTCTAAAGTGCAAACATAGATTTTCTTTAGATTTGTATATTATCAAGTATTATATGCCAATGTGTAGCCTTTTCAAGCACAAAATGGAGTCAAATGAAAATCTGTAAACCAACATGAAATTGAAGTGTTGAAAACCAAACCAAAAATTAACTGCTACAGCATTCGGGGGGAGAGAGAGAGAGAGAGAGAGAGAGAGAGAGAGAGAGAGAGAGAGAGAGAGAGAGAGAGAGAGAGAGAGAGAGAAAGAAAGAAGTAACTAAATATGGAATCTCCAAAAAATTGTCAGACTTAGAACTGCCTTCCAGTTTAAAAATTTTAATTCTAAATAATAAAAAAAACTATACACAGACCAGATTTGACCATACTGAAATTTCAGTAGCAAGCAGGACCTGAAGGAGCCAATATTTCACAGTAACAAGTACAAGTCCTTCAGGATTTAACGCACTGAGAAGTTCAATTTACATCCTGCTTCTCTTGGAAAACTAACAGTCCACTTTTATTACATAAAATTATTTATACAGTGTAAAACCAGAGCCTCGTGGAAAATACTGCCTCTAAGTGTATTAAAATTATTAGTCTTGTTCCATAGGTTCATCTGCAGTTTCTGTGGCGTCATCGCTGTTTTCCACTGGGGTCTCTGATGCAATTTCAGGAGTTTCACTAACATTTGAGCCCAATTCTTCTTTGTCACTGCAGTCAGCTTTGCTACTAAAAGATCCACTGTTCTCACTATTTGGAGAAGATGAGTCTTTCATTGCTTGAGTCTGGTCAGATTCCCCAATCTGATTATTCTCCTCAGAAACATCTTCTTTCTCAGCTGAGGAGGCACTGTCTTTGTCTAGAACTTTTCTTTCTGGAAAAACTTCTCTTGACATCATGAGAGATTCTGGAATAAAGTTAGAATCTGTTATACAGATGTTTAAAACAAAGCAACGCTAAAGTTTTATACAGGTAACAATCATGAAAATACATCCCTTCTTGTGCTTTATGCCTCAGCAGGTGGCAGCATTTAGCTGACCTTGTTTAGCTGGGGACTTAAAAGACATAAGTTTTGGGTAGTTCTTTGGTTAGAACACTTCGGAACTCCAAGGCTATTGCCTAGACTGGAAAATTGGGGGACAGGGGAACCCTGTAAGGCAGCAGTGGCAAACCAGTCCTGTAACGCTACCAAGAGTTATGATCATCTTGAGGGATTTGTCTGAATGCCATCCAGGAATTTTCTGACATTTGTGGACTTGGCTTGATCTAGAATGGTCATAGTTTCCCAGTTGAAACTGGTTAAGTCTGTCTATGTGTTGTGAAATTAAGAAGTTTTTATCATATTTCTGACTGCTAGCTGATGTTCATGGATACAGTCTGCTAGTCTTCTGTCTATATGTCCTACATAATGGCTATTGAAGTCCTCACACTGTTATGTTGTAGAGCAGGGGTTCTCTTGGTTTATATCAGCTTTGCTGGCTGAGGAATTCTGGGAGTTGAAGTCCACAAGTCTTAAAGTTGCCAAGGTTGAGGACCCCTGTTGTAGAGGACTCCTGTTCTAGGGCTGCTGAGCCTTCTTAGTTTACTTAGGATATTCTGGAGGGCTTTAGTTGGTTTGTGTGCTACGATGATGCCAAGGGATGGTTAATGAGTCTGTTGTGGTTTCTGAGATGTTTTTGATGTATGGCAGTGTTAACTGTTTCACAGTTTGTATTGATTGTGCTATATATCGGGTGGAGTATCAGGCACTTTTTGATGAAGTTTGGTTAGTTTATTACAACTAAGCAAAATGTGTAGCAACTTGATGAAGTTGCATGGAATTCTTGTTGGAAGTTGTTGTGTAGATGATCTGTTTCCTTTTTCTGATGTTTAGGGATGCTACCATGTGTTTGTACTAATCTAAATAGTGTTCTTACACACTATTTCTCTTGTGGGAGGTTGTGCTATTACTTTGATAGCATAGCACTTGGTTGGTGTGGATGGTTTTATGTTAATCTGTCATCACTGCCTCTGCTGATGAGAATATCCAGGAAGGGTAGCCTATTGTTTTCTTCTTCCTTTAATGAGTTTTATACATTTGAAGATGTTGTTGATGATTTTGTATGTTCTCTAGTTGGTCGTTTTTTATTGTGACAAACCAAACCCCACCAACACTGATAGGACAAGTATATAACTATATATACAGTAAGTGTACTTATATACGTATATAAAATGAGAGCAAACCCACTCCCTACTAGTACTGTTGCTTAACTGGGTAATGAAACATTTGCAAGAAAACAACCAAACCCAGAAAGCACCAAGGACTCCACAATTTGCTAAATGTTTGCAGAGTTACACTGGCTTGAAGGGCAGAAGACTAAAAGTCAGTTTTAGTACCTTTTATGAATTAAAGCGTGTGGAAATGTCACTGCACAAAAATAAGTTATCTGCAATGTTGACTTACAAAATACAACACACATTCCAATCTGACCATTGACAGAAACAATTGGGAGTTCGGTCTGGATTTAATACACAATCTATGCAATTTCATTGTACTATCAAAACATAGTATGTTTATAGAGCCTTATTAGAAAAACCACTCCCAGGTCTTTCTTAGTCTCCTAACTAGGATACTTCAGCATAACTTCAAACAAAATTGGATTGGATGCAGATCTTATTCTATTTAGAAATCAATGAGGCACGTTGCAACTAAATTATGATTTACTCATGATTAAGTCTGTTTTCGACTCACGAAATTCACAATAAATGATAAAATATAAATTGAAGCCATGTTTTAAACATAGGTTCAGGGAATGCATTTTCTACTGAAATGGTATATACCTTCTTCCTCCTCAACTTCTTCTTTACAATGCTGTCTGTCTTCAATGGTTTCTTTTTCTTTATCCTGAGATGGAGAAGTTGTCTCAGTCTCTTCTACCATTGCTGAGCATGCTTCGTGGGGGCCACTCTCGTCGGAGGTTTCTTCAGCTTCCTCCTCTTTGTCAAATTTAAGTCTTTTTACTTCGTAAACTTCCATTTCTGATGGATCGTCTCCAGGGTGTTTATTTTTTACAGGACAGTTTTGGACTCTTTCAGGCTCAGATGCTGGTGATTCACTAGAAGACAGGAAGAAGAAAAAATAGAAACACAAAGGATCGCATTTTCATATGAAGAGATAAGCAGGGATATTGCATCTTAAGGAATCAATCCTATAGATTTGGGTAACTTCTACCGCTTTGCTTAAATGTAACTTTATTAAATGTTCTGATATACACCAAGAAGCTATTCTTGCAATGAGGCACAGAAGACAAAAACAAAGTTTTGACACAAACCAGTTGTGCCAGCATCACCATTCCAATTCAACTGGGAAATCTTATTTAAAATAAAATAAAATCTTGTTTTAAGCAAAATGGTATTCATAATGTACAGGAAATCGGGTCCTTTATAATCAATGAATATTGTGTGCAAATAGATATTTTTTTTTGCTTGCACAATAAATTTTTCTCCTTTTTCCCCTCTGCGGACTTGCAAATCCCTAGTGAATTTTTATGAACACAAAAGGATACAATAAACTGTTACTTCTCAATTCCAAAGACAGAACAAATTCCACTAGCTGATTTTTTTTTAAAAAAATGTCATTGACATTTAATTTCCCATAACAGATTATGATCTAAATATTCACATCAATTTTAAAGATCAACAACTGAGGTACTCTGGGATACATTATTTATACACATCCTACAGTATCCTAATATAGTGAGCACTTATGCATTAAGACTTTTAAAATATGAAAGGAATAGTTCATGCCCACAAGAAATCTGCCTGAAAAGAGGATGTGCTCATTTTCATTTTGGAGAACAAAATGTGTTAACAGAAAATACAGATAGTCCTTAACTCACAACCACAATTAGGATTGGAATTTCCATTGCTAAGTGATGTGGTCATAAAGTGAGACATCATGTGACTATAGTGCTTAGCAACTGCAATTCTGGCACTCCTAGTTGCTGTTATAACTCTAAATGCACAGTGTTTAATATTATTAGTTACGTTGGACAGTATATTTAATATTTAATATGTATTAATATTTAATATTTACTTGTTATGTATATGTAGGGCTGTGGGTCTATACATATGTTGTATATAATATGTTTAGGTGTGTGTCATGTATGTGTTCACTTTGAGAGCGGGCAACTAAATTTCATTTTTGATGTGTGCCGTTGTGCCCACAGTAAAAAATGACAATAAAGGTGATCTTATCTTGCATTAACAGAGGGATAGAATCAAGATCACGTGAAGTGTTAATACCACTTTACAATGCCTTGGTAAGGCCACACTTGGAATACTGCATCCAGTTTTGGTCACCACGATGTAAAAAAGATGTTGAGACTCTAGAAAGAGTGCAGAGAAGAGCAACAAAGATGATTAGGGGACTGGAGGCTAAAGCATATAAGGAACGGCTGCTGGAATTGGGTATGTCTAGTTTAAGGAAGAGAAGGACGAGGGGTAACATGATAGCAGTGTTCCAATATCTCAGGGGCTTCCACAAAGAGGGAGTCAAGCTATTC